AGAGAGAGAGAGAGAGAGAGAGAGAGAGAGAGAGAGAGAGAGAGAGAGAGAGAGAGAGAGAGAGAGGAACAAAGATGTGCAAAGGAGCACAGAGTTGATATCCTCCAATTAGTCCCAAGGAAACGACTGAGTTCAAGGATGGCGGAAAATAAAAATTAAGTCCATCCATCTTCAACAGCAAGATCTGAAGGTCACAACTGCAAATTATAGCGATCGAGGGACCCATTTTCGCATGATGTCAGTGACGACCGCAACCGCAAATTGTGCCGGGCAATCGCCACTCCCAAGTAATCAGTCACATCACCATCATCTCCTCCCAAACCTATGAACCCTGCAAGCTCCAGCAGACTTCACAGAGCTGAAACTCTCAAGGGCATCAGGTCCCAATGCCAGGTCCCCGCAAGCGCTAGGTGAAGTCCTTACAGTCATTGAGCCATGACGTGAGTCAGCCCCACAAACATCATCCCAAGGGCCAAGATGGATTAAAAAAAAGAAGGCCAAAAAGCAAACACAAACACGAAAAAAAAAAAAAAAAAAAAAAACCACAATATAAAACGAGAACGGAATTATTGAGAGGCCAAGCACTACGAATCCCCCCCCGAGGCGGCCATGCGCGACCTCGGCCACGTCTATGGGCTAGGCTGCGACGCCGCGGCCATGGTAACAGAAAGTCTGTATATACCCATCTATTTCTGTCAGAATCTATCTAGAACAAACCCAAAACAAAAAAAAAAAAAAAAAAAAAAAAAAAAAAAAAAAAAAAAAAAAAAAAAAAAAAAAAAACCACCAAAAACACACACACAAAGAAACAGGAAAACACACAAACACACACACACACAAGATGGAGTCTATGGTCCCCTCTATTGCATCAAAACATTGCAATTCCCAAACTGCCAAGATCGGGACACCAAAACGCCAAAGATCGGCACGTTCATATTCCACAGATGGGCACATTAACATCAGCCATGTTGCTCAAATGCCCCTACAAACTTTAAGCTCAAAGACCTCCACACCCTTAACAGCGACAGCGACAGCGACAGCCAAGTAGCAGAGGCAGAGTCCTGAGATCTTGAAGTCCCGATCCGATACGTCGACTCCCATGCCTGGAACTAGGCAGTCCCGGAATCTGGGACCGGCACCATTGCGACTCTTGCGACTGGAACTACACGATCCCAGGAGCTGAAAGTCCCACAATCCCACCGAAGCCGCCCGTGTCGCTGAAATCCCGCTGAATCATATATATTATATACACACATGTACCTGTTTCGAAACAGGTAATGCGTTCAAATCCTGATGGAACCAGATATAGGTATTATAATCATCCTTGATGACGCCATAAAAGGGGCGCTAGGGGCTACCCCCATGTCAAACAGAAAGTCCCAACATTCCGGCTCTTGATTAACTGGGACCAGGCAGTCCCGACTCCTGCGGCCATTCAAGACCCAGGTTCCAACACCTGTGTGGACACACCGGGGCTCCGAAAACTGGGACAAACCGTCACCAACGCCAAGGCGAATTTCACTTACAGTAGGTACCCCTGCAAAATTAACCAAGGTGCCCCAAAGAAGTTAACCAAGGTACCCCTGCAAAAAAATTGGCCGAGGTACCCCCCTTGCAAAAAAATTGGCCAAGGCACCCCCCCTGCAAAATTGACAAAGGTACCCCTTAAAGTCTAGCAAGAGTGACTATGGGCGCTTTCCTGTCCTCGCGGCAGAGTGTGAACAAGACAAGTCTGTTTCCCGTGAGGTCTGCGTATTGCCGCCGTCGGGTATTGTGGACTCTGGAAAACCAAATCTTTTAGTCATCATAACTTGTTAAACATCATACTCTGGAAATTGCGCCGGCGATTCAGGCTGCTGCGATCAGGACGGCTGAGATCGGGTCCCTAAATCGGGACTTCATAGTACATACACCAGGACCGCCTGGAATGCAGTCCCACAGTTCGAACTCTCAAAGACTCGAGTCCTGGAATCGGGACCCCCACCATAGGGATGACCCCTGGAATTTGGTCCCACAGTTCGGACTCCCAAAGATTTGGGTCCTGGAACTGGGACTTTCTGACATCGGCATGGCCTTAAAAAACTCAAGTCGCACAGTTCAAACCCACAGTCCCAGGACTCCCAACGATTCGAGTCCCCGAAATCGGGACTTCCAACATCCAGATGGCCTGGCATTCAGTCCCATAAATCGAACTCTCAAAGATACACGAGTCCTGGAATCGGGACCACCACCACCAGGACGACCTGGAATTCGGTCCCACAGTTCGGACTCTCAAAGATTTGGGTCCTGGAACTGGGACTTTCGGACATCGGGATGGCCTTAAAAAAGTCAAGTCCCACGGTTCAAACCCACAGTTGCAAATCCCGGGGGACGATTTGAGTCCCGGATGCGGGACTTTCCCACAAAGCAGATGGCCTGGCATTCCGTCCCACGGCTCAAACTCTCAGAGAGATTTGAGTCCCACAATTGGGACTCCAAACATCATGATGGCCTGTAAAATTCAGTCCCACAGTTCGAACTCTCAAAGGCGTGAGTCCCGGAAGCGGGACTTTCACAAAAGCCGAAGACATGGCGGCGAACGCCTAAGGCCCAACGGGGAACAGCTAGCAGGGGACCCAAAATGTTCCGACAGCCAAGATACAGAACCCCAGAGAGAGCAGGTACCCAGGACCAAGACTCCTAATTAAGAAAAAAAAAAAGGAAAAAAAAAGGAAAAAAAGGACCACCGCTCCTGAGATCCAGTTCTTTTTTTTTTTTTTTTTTTTTCCTTTTTTTTTCTCCCCCCCCCTCTATCATGAACCATACAAATGTTGGTAGACCTTAGTATCGATCGTTGTTGTACCTCACAGAAAAGTTTCCAATTGTGGTGGATTGACTGTGTCGATTGGTTGGTTGATTGATCGATTGGTTGATTGACTGTGTCGATCGATTGGTTGATTGACTGTGTCGATTGATTGGTCGATTGATTGGTTCATTAATTGGTTGGTTGATTGATTGGTTCATCAATTGGTTGGTTGATTGATTGGTTCGTTAATTAGTTGGTTGATTGGTTGGTTGATTGGTTGGTTAGACTGGAACAGTACAAGCATGATGAAGGCAGAGTAGGTTATAGACTGTGTTGATCGATTGGTCTATTGACTGTGTTGATTGATTGGTTGATTGATTGGTTGATTGATTGGTTGATTGATTGGTTGATTGATTGATTAGTAGATTGATTGATTGGTTGATTGATTAGTTGATTGATTGATTGATTGGTTGGTTGGATTAGAAGAGGACAAGCATGGTGAAGGCAGAGTAGATTAGAAGACACGGGTAGGCTACCAAGTAACTATACGGCGACGCCTGCGGTACAAGTCCTACGAGAAGGTTCGAGCACAGATGGCTACTCCACAGAACAGTCATAACTCCCAACAGGAAAGCCACTACACCTCCCTTAGGAATCAATAAACACAAGGAGGAGAGGACCACCACAGGACACAAACAGTACCCTATAACACTTGCACAGACGTAAAGATCAAGAGTACCTCCCTCCTTATTAACCAACAGATTGAACACCGTATACATTGCTATCGACACCACAGTTGCCCAGCCCAAAATCACTCCAAAATGCAGCTTCCCAGCTAAGAGCTCACAAAGGCCCAATAGGAAACCAATAAAGACGGGTCCCGACAAATCGCCGTCCGCCATGAGATTGAGATCGAGCGGTCCGAACGGAAGCATCACCACTTTCAGCTTCTTGCCGATCTGTGGAACGTTGATGCCTAGCTCATCCAACAGCGGAGGTTCGTCTTCGAAGTAGCCATAAGATCCACCTACACCTCCTCCTGCTCCTCCTCCTCCTCCCCCTCCTCCATACATCCCTCCTCCCACCCCTACTCCATAAGGGGTTCCCATCATCGACTCATGATGAGGCGGATGACCAGCACTCCGGATTGTCGAAGAAGAAGAAGGAAACCAGGTGGGGTTTGCATCATCTTGATAAACGGGCATGAAAGGTGGTTGAGTAGGCGCCCCCCCCACCGTTCCCGAAGGACGCATCATTGAACCTTGACCCCATTTATGACCCCCTTTTGCTGAGAATGGCGCATATGATGGTGTCTGTCCTCCATGGGCACCACCGATTATCCGCAGCCTGGACCCAGAGGAGAGGGAGGAGGTGGAGGTGGTCGTTGTCGTATGCATCTTGTGCCGCAGGCCGTATGACTGCTATTTATCAGTTAATCTCACTGAAGACAACTATCTGCTGATAGCCACTCCCTTTCTCACCTCTCTCTCTCTCTCTCTCTCTCTCTCTCTCTCTCTCTCTCTCTCTCTCTCTCTCTCTCTCCCGCTTTGAACGTCTGTAGAGCTCAGCTTCCAAGGTAGTAGTGGTCGTGATCATGATAGGTCCTGCAATGCCAAGGCTCAGGCTGTCAGATGAGGAAACATGGAACAGACACATAATTGGGGGCTGGGGGAGGGTACGGCACACACTCTGTGTGAGTGTGTGTGTGTGTGTGCGTGTGTGTGTGTGTGTGTGTCTGTGTGTGTCTCTGTGTGTGTCTCTGTGTGTGTGTGTGTGTGTGTGTGAAAGAGGGAGGGAGAGAGAGGGGGGGGAGGAGGGAGGGAGGGGAGAGAACAAGTCACAATTAATTTGAGAGAGGGAGGGAGGGAGGGAGGGGAGAGAACAAGTCAGAATTAATGTGTTCTTTCTCTATTTTTCAAAGAATTACTGGTGCTTTTTTTCTTTTCTTCTTCTTTTGGCAAAATCTAGTGGACAGACAGACCTTTGCCGTGAGGTGAGAAGAGAGAGCACCTACGCTACAGGGAGTGCGTTCCCACTGGCAAAGTGGATCGGATTAAGAACCTGAATCTGGACAAGTTCTAAGGGGAGATGGAGGAAAACAGGATCAATCGCGGTTTTCTGCATTTACCCTCAAAAACGTCCAGATTCTGCCGTTAAATCCAATCCTCTGTGCTAGTGGGACCTCGCCCGTGGTGCTTTTTAATGGACGAGGGGAGACGACTACGGTAGTATTTATGCAATCGGTGGTCTCCCCTCGTCCATTAAAAAGCACCAATTGCACCAATTGCACCAATTGCATAGATATCTCTAATGGGAAGACGCCCCTCTGTGCTGTGAAAATAGAGAATTCGTGTGAAAAAAAAAAAAAAAAAAAAAAAAAA